AAATATAAGAATAAATATAATTATATTTTTTTTAATATATTATAATACAGGTTATCTAAAAAGCAAACAGTCTGAATTTTTTTTTGTTAATCATAAATATATTATGTGATCTTTATCAAATTAATACAATCTTATAAATTAAAATTATCATAAAATTAAATATTAAATCATTGATTTATTACTCAAATTCTATAATAAATTTTTCTATTTTATTCTGGTTTATATTTTTAATACAGTTTTTCTTTTTTTAAATCAAGGTATACTTAAAAAGTTTAAAATTTAATTTCAAAATAAAAAAAAATAAAAAATAATCTATCATCATTATATTACAAATTTTCAAGTGAATACATTTATTTTATTAGACAAAATCAATGTTATTGATAAATTGCATATCTGAAATTTGAATATTTTATAAGAAAATTGTTAATTTTCAAATGTTTAAAATTCAAAATTTTCTAATCAACTAAAAATTTATTGTTAATTCTATCATTATTACAAATGATTTTTTTATATTTTGTAAAATAAATGTTTTAGGATTTTGAAGTTGAATGATTTTATTTTTATTTATAAATAAATTGCAACATATATAAAATATAAAATATAAAAATTAGATTATAAGTATATAAATAATCTTAATAAAACAAATTTTTTATATTAAATATACATATAATTATAATAATAGTTAGCATTAATAATATAATAATTTGTATTATTATTATTTTTAATATTATTATAATAATTATGAAAATAAAATAAAATTTAATAATCATATAATATCTTATTATTTTCAGTTAAAATTATAATTATGATTATGAAAACCAATTAATTATAATTTAAAATATTTAATTAAAATCTTATCATAAAAGCCTTAAAATAACTTTTCTAATTATAAAGAATCATTAAGATTTGCAATATTTTATTTCCATCTTCATTAGATTCTAAAATGCTTTTAATACTTTCAAAGATAATGCATAAATTACGTGAGAAATTGCTACTATTAATCAAATTTTTACATTCTGAATTTAAATAACAGTTGGACATCCTAAAAAAATGGTAAAAATAAGAAAATAAAATGTTATAGTAAAATATTATGCTTTCAAGATAGTAGTTCTTCTACATTCA